GACGTGGGGGGGTGGGAGGGGTGTTAGGGGAAAAACATGATGACTGTGGGTTAGGAGAAGGGGCGGAATATATACAGGGCAGCACATACCAACCTTTTCCAATTGAGGAAACACGACCTAAAATCCCAATTAAATCTAGGGAGTGATTTGAGAACATAACTTCCCCAATTTGGTCCCTTTATAGGGTAAATCCACCTTCTCAATGGAGGCATCAATCTAACGCGGTCTATTGTTTTATCGGAGAACACAATGCAGAGAAGTGGATCTTACTCATTATCAGCTGTTGTACTTGGTGTTGGCCCGAGGTTCTCCTTTTACTATCTGATAAAGTACTGGAGACTTCCTCTTTTGTATGGGGCCTATTTATAAAGGTGGGTGATCCCGCTTCTCATTTGTCGCACTTTGTCAATGCACCAAATAAAACATTGACGTGAAAAATGGTGACCGAGAGAACAAACCTGATGGAGAAGATTGGGGGAGCAAACTGAAAAAGACACAATGATGTCTTCTGAGGGACGCATCGTCTCCTGCTTCCCTCCTTCTAGAAAATGCTCAGCCAGGGAAGGCAACCTTGCCACTCCATCTGTGGTGAAGCTACCAATCCCATCATGACTTTGCCTCTGGGAGCCATGCCTGTGGCTGTCAGTCTCGCAATGGGATTTGTAGTTGCACAATAGCTGTTGCCGAGCCTTAGACACACAATGCAATACTAGTGGCATTAGGCAAGGTTAGAATTTTCCTGACTCTCTTGATTATAAAGATAGAAAAGCCATCAGGTCCAAGCACCGCTCCAAAAGGGGTGGCACTAAGTGAACACCATGGCAGGAGCCTTTCGGGGCGACATGTCCAGGCTTCCTCACAATGCAATATGGCCGCAGAGAGACAAGGCAGGTCATGTGACTGGCCCTTTAATAACCCCCCTTACAGGAATACTGCTTTCCTCTCCCTCATCTCCCCAAGACTGCCTAACCCACTACTCCTGAACTCCCTTCCTCCTCTTCTGGTCAATCGATCTGACGGTTCTTCTGAAGGAGAAGAATCAGGTCCAGCCTATCTTACATCTCCAGGCTTCATGTCAGAACTCCCCGGGGGGGGGACATTAAGGTCTAGCATTCAGAACATCCATTCAAGCTACAACAGAAACACTTTATCTCATATAATAATAATAAAAAGGAAGGATGCTTTAAGTTTCTCTCCAGAAAAGATTGCATTGGCAAGGGCTGTGGCAAAATGAACAGGAAAAACATGAATTTTTCGCTGTTGGGTATTAGGAAAGCAGAAGTCAGGACAGGAGCGAGGTGGCTTTAGTGTTATAGATACAGAGGGCACATCAATACAATCTCCATAAAGAAAGAACAGTACAGAGAGGAAGAAGAGGAGGAGGAGGATGAGGAAGCAAAGTTGTAAAGATCAGATATATAGGTGCT